CACATCATGCATAACAGACTATATACACGGTGATTTTGAAAGCGTTTTGGAAAAGAAAATTTTGAGTTATTTATCAGTAACAGAAGCTATATATAACGTTAATTTAATAAAATATATATATTTTTTATCATCAAAGTCGATATTCATATCGATTACAGAGAAAAGGTGAGAACCAGTAGTAGGGCTTTTCAATCGCAAGTAGGTAAATACTACGAATAGAAATACTATACTCACGCGCAAGGTCAAGGACGTTTAAATTATTATTCGCCGGAGTGTAGTGCGTGCATACCTGGACAATGAGTTTAGTGATCGGTGGATAGGTCGAGGAGGGCCAGTGCCTTGGCCACCTAGAAGCCCGGACTTAACGCCCCTGGATTTTTTCTTATGGTCGAAAATAAAAATACTTGTTTATACACGGGAATATGAAAGCCGTGATAATTTACGCATTGCGATAGTGGACGCTTTTGATAAAGTGAAAAATGATAGAGACACATTACGAAAATTAAAAAACAATTGCATTAAACGTGGACGTTTGTGTATTGAATGTAGCGGACTCCATTTTGAGCAGTTGCTTCGATACAGAGAAGTGTAAATAGTGTAAATAGGTATGTAAGTTAATTATTCTGTAGATAGCTCCGATTTTTTAAATACGCTTGAAATATTTATACCTACAGTCCGTTGTTAAATTGATTTGTTGTGAAAAGAACAATCGTGGTTAATAATCGAAAAGAAGTTTAAATAAAATAGGTATTTCCGACGATCCTAAGCCCGTGTAAGTATTCGCTAGCTCGCGCCTATAGGTATACTTTTATCAGTTGCTGTTAGCGTCAGCGGTGCGCAGCGGCCGCCGAAACGCCCACGGACGTGTTTCATTTATATAAGATAATGAATGAATGATCAGTCCATTACTTCTTTCCAAGTCGATCGAGTAAAAATGAATATTAAAACTGAAACTTTTTTTTAGACAACATTACAATTGATTTAATCATTTTTATTGGTACTATAGATGATTCCAAATTAAAATGTTTCGTTTCCAAAACGCCTAAAAAATCACCGTGTATACAGGTGAGTGCGGCACTCGACAGGATCCAAACGGCGACGTATCGACATTTTGAAAATATCGATGTATCGATTTTTTCTCATCACACTGTGCAGTATATTGTTAGACTGCGAACATTGTTAAAATAACGTAACTATATTCTATTAATTTAGTCTAGCAAAAATCGTTTAAAAAGAGTCAAAAATATTCCAAATTATTTTTGTAATTATGTTGATTTAGTCACTCTACCGCGCGAGTGAACCCGTGTGCAGAAGCAAATTCATAATCATAAAAGGTGAACCTTCGGTAGATATTTCAGCCAAAGCTATAAAAGCGATTATCGATAAAACGTTTCATAATATAATAATGCCATCACGCATCCCTAGTCGGTTATACGTGATGGCGAATCTGACATTACGTACTTAGTCAAATAAAATCTTCAAAAATATCCGATCTTTTCTTAGACTTATACAACACATGGTAGTGCAATGATAAATCATAGAAAAAATATTTATTTAGTTTACGTTGTGTCAATTTTTTAAACGCTTGAGTTTTAGGTAAATATGTTTCTGCCATTGTTCTTTCAGCTTTATAGGACTTCAGGAAGTACCTTAAAAAGTTTGATGATCATCAGTGAGTCAGTGACGAAATCGGGATATTTTAGATTTCCATAAAATTTTAAGTAAAAGAGCTATGTAATTGAATCTTTATATGTTTAGTAAATCCACTATTGACATGATATTCCGAGAATTTTGTTTATCTGGCACACTCCTAACCGTAAGTCGTGGGTGGTTAAAAAAAACACGAAGCGCTTCCAGAAGAGGTAGGTAGTGCCTTGCGCTTCGCTTTTCTCGTCTTGGCGAGATTTTATTTATCACTAAAAACAATTGAACAAAACGTATATACATATTTTTATAAGTCTGACCATCAGATGGGGACGTTATTCGTACAGCCCGGTTAGTTCATTTATTTCAATCGTTTATCATGTTGCCCATTCACACCTTTTCACCCACATTGTACATTTTTTAAATTGTACCTATAGTTAATTAATACATGTATGTACATGTAGACATGTTTATGCCTTAAGATTCTTTTGTTTACATTGTGCATTAATCAAATACGCAAATTATGGATTCAATGTTTCTTTACAGCACAAAACCGCTGTTCTGTTTTAATTTTGTACGTTCTGTTTTTATCACTTTATCTTATCTAGCTATACAAATAAATAAAATTGAAGTGTCTGTTTGTAAAAATGTGTCTGTTGTCAAAACAATAGGTTTTTTCAGGCTCACACCTAGCTCACTAAAAACCAGTTTAAATATTTTTTGTCTGTCTGTCTGTTTGTTCCGGGTAATGCTTTAAAAGGGCTGGACCGATTTTGATAATATTTTACTACTAGGTAGCGGTCTATATAAAGAGTAACTTAGGCTATTTTCCTCTCAGAAAACCCTATAAAATTTTGCGCGGTCCGGAAATCGAACTGGAACGCAGTCGCGTACCGTAGTAAACAACTAAGGCAACGCTTTTCTAATAAGAAGTCGGGTACCAGCTTGTTTAGTATATAAGTATAAAGATGGTTTTACACCAGCGAGGCGAGGCAACGATAGGATGGGCGTGAATTGATCTCATGCTTACCCCTTTACACCGAAAGATGTCCAGCGGTGCCCCGTGCCGGCTCACGATGGAAAGCGTCGCCCATCGCTACCTCGCGCCGCGCAGGCTCACGCTATCTCGCGCCGGCCAGCCACGTCTAGCGCAAATCGCACCCCCTACATTTTATAGAGACAACCATTGTTATTGTGTCTGTCAATTGTATGTCAGCCCGTATTTTAAGTTCTACTTCACCCATGAAATAAAATGGCAAGTTTGATTTTATTTGGAATGCATGTTTTGGTGTGCAATGAGTATTTTTGATAGGAACAGGAATAGAAACTATAACTATTTTGTTTTTATTCATAAAGCAACTTGTACTTCTATTGATTTGTTAAACAACAAATAAAGTTAAGAAAACATGTAAGTAGCACTGAGAGCTGGGGCTGTCTGGACTGGCGATGTCTTGCGATGGTCGAAACGAGCCGTGCGTGCCATCGCGAGACAGCGCTTGACGGAGAAAGACAGTACGGGTCCTCGATGACCGGTGCGAGATTTGTAGGTATATCTGTTTTATCAAGTAAAACAAATACTCCATTTTTAAAGTTATAAAGTTCAATATTGTGCTCAAAAATATTTCAATTCTCGCCTCGTGCATCTAGACCTTTTACAACAAAGATGGGCAGGGCGTTGATAAAAATTTTGTCATACGCAATTTTACATTTAAATTTTATCCCATTGCCTCGCCTCGCCGATGTAAAACCACCTTAATAATCCCCAAAAAACAATATCGCTCTTTATAATTCTCATAGCTGGAATAGTTCCAATTTATAATTTATTCCTTTGCATTTGAAAATCTTTGCAAGAGATTTACCTATAGTGGTTTGCATAGAATAACCAGGTCTGTGCTAAGGGAAACCAATCAATACAGAGAATAAAGTGTAAATTTTATATAATTTTTTAATATTTATATTACATACTAATATTTACAATATGTTTAACTAATATGTTATGTTATTGGATTCGCCTTCTCCTCGTTCTTCTTGTTCTATAATCATGTTAGCCCATTCTTCGGCTTGACGATATCGCTGTCGCCTAACGTAAGGTGCATACATTGTTCTGTGAACAACTACAACCGCTGATGTAACCGATATAGCCATTAACATTTTCATTAGAGGCGTTGAAGTTCTGAACCATGCTGAAAGTCGTTCCATTATTCAGCTGGAGGTAATGGTTTCGTAACCGAGTTCCTCTTTTTAAAATAATCGTCAAAAAGTGGTCTCCAAATGTAAACACCACTAAAAACGCCCAATACAGTAACTAGAACAATTTGACCTCTTGTTATTGATCTAGGTCTACGAATACGCATCATAAAATATCGCCAAATTGTAAACAAAAATGAGAATATTTCTCGATCAAGACATTTTAGGTTAGAAGTTACGTCACATTCAGAATCAGTGTTGCTGTTTCACATTTAACTAAACTACTGTGATTGTGATGTTCATTAAATATAACCAAGACTGCTGTTTTAATTTTTTAGCTAGTTTAAACTTGTTATATGTCAGGTTTTTAGTATTATAAATTGCTTGAACTAGTAAAATATATGATGACTAACACTGGCTGGAATTTTACTTGTTTTTTTTGTAATGTGGAAATGCTTATGAAAACAAGAATCACCTTTATTATTAAACTCAAGTTAGGTATTGAAATAATTGTAATGTAGAAAGCTGTAAGTGTCGACACGACAAGTAAGTTATAAAAGACAATATGTAGATCGCTTATAAATCCTTCTGTAGATCCTGTTTTTAGTTTTTATTTAAGGTGTTATTTGCTTTATGTTAAAATCGTACGAAATTTATGTAAATTGCGAAATTGCAGTATCTATTTTTTTAGATCATTTTTTTTATTTCTTGACTAGTCACGCTGCTGAAGTTTTTACAGATTTACTGAAGTCTACTAATGTGGTTAGAATTCTACTGAAATTGACAACGCTGTGTGAAACTGGACACAAGATAATTCGTTCTAAATCCCATTTATTTCATAAAGAAAAGGATGGAGTTTTCCTATTATAAAGTTTAACACTATTTATAATGGAAAATAGAACAAAAATCTGATTGTAAAAAATTTAAATCGTATAAATGAAAAAGTAATTATATGAGGTAGGAAAGTAAATAATATCGAGAGAACGGAAATGTCATTAAAGTGGAACAAAGAAAATAGATTTAGTTATCTGTGGAGAGACCTGTCAGAAGTGTCAGACTGCGGGATCCTTAAAAATAACCTATGTAACAGACAGCATGAACAACAAAAACTAAGTCAGTTACTATTTTGGAGTTATTTGCATTGCTTGGTATTATTTGAGTTCCAAATAATGGCGAATAGAGCCGTGCCTAATATACTTGTGACAGGTAAACAAGAATGCATATACAATAATATAATCACATGTGCTAGTTTGTTTATATTGCTTTACGATACGTCTTATTCTATTTTGTAAATTATACTTTAAACTTTTTAGGCACACCGGGGGTTGGCAAGTCTTCAATTTCCCGTTTGCTTGCCGAGAGAACAAAATTCACATGGAGGGAGGTGTCAAAACTAGCAGAAGAATACAATTGTTTAGATGAATATGATCCTGAGTACCAGTGCCCATTCTTGAACGAAGATAAGGTACCTATCAATCAAAATTCTCCTACTAGTCATGCTGAAACAAGGACAATGATGTCCTTGTATTAATTTAAATGAATGCACATGTCTCTGCATTATTTTGGATGCGAGCGATTGGAATAGACTTACCATTGGTGGTGGCGGTAGTCAGCTCATTTATTCCTACACAAAAACCCATTATTGATAAAAATCTACATTTTAGGTTATATTATGTATAAATGGAGCTCATACACAGTTTTAAGTTTGGACATTTTTATAAATACATGGATCCTTAATATTTTCAGCTCCTTGATATCATGGAAGGTATGATGACAAAAGGTGGCAACATAGTGGACTACCACGGCTGTGAATTCTTCCCTGAAAGGTGGTTTGATGGGGTTTTTGTTGTAAGGACCAACAACACAACCTTATTTGACAGACTAACAGCCAGGTAAACATACATTCTAAACTTCCCTTGATCTTAATTAAATTTTATTCATATTTAGAATTTGGTAAAGGCAGAATGATTATTATTATGTTCTCTTGCCAACAAGAATACAAAACTAAAGAAGACTAGTTACAGCAAATTACCTATAGTAGCCTTAGAAGAGATTTCAGGATTTACTTGAGAGTGTCAGATTAACATAGGAGGAATACATTACAGCCAGTTGAGTACCTCCACCATACATAAGCCCTACATATAGAGGGGGCGTTTGGGGCAGTCCATCAGCTTTATTAAAAAAAAAACAGATGGCCAGAAACACTCGAGTGTGTAAGATTAAGGTAAGAAGAGTCAATCATGATGATGATTACAGTGTGACATAAAGCAGTAGGAGGGTTACTGTTCCAAAAAATGACAGATGACCTTGACTTTTTTGTTTAAAGTTAAAAATGTAAGAAAAATTTAAATGTCTACTTAATTTTTTGTGCCTTTATTCATCACATTTTATAAAATAATCTTATCAATCTATATCAATCAATCTAATCAATCATCATATTTTTAGCTAGTATGAGAGGAACATCAAGCTGAAGAACCATCTGTATAAAATCTAACACACAATAGCTTATTATATTCAAAATAGCTTATTTTCGAATTTGCAGTTTGCCTTTACATTAATTCACTACAAGCTTGTCACTTCAAAATCGTCAGGCCTTTTAATGGGAACATTTTAGGAGTCCAAATAACATATCCCCAAATTTTTTTTTTTCAATTTCCTTTCATTGCATTTTTGAAAACCTGCCACACTGCTGTGGTGTGCGTTACCCCAGCAAAATAATGTCGAAAATGGTCATTTAAACTTTATAGATAATTAGTTGCTCCCCTTCTGTAATTGTTAAGCACATTTTTAAATTTGTTTCACTTAAACTTTTTTAGTTATTTCAAAAAAACATTTCCTGCTGGAGTAACGTTTGAAACGTTACCGCAGCCAGACATTTTCTTTTTTAATTGTAATATTGAAATAAATTTTAGCTAGATAATTAGTTATCTGGACTAGGTAAATGTTACAACTTATTTGGTATTTGTATTTTCTTCGGTTGCGAAGTTATTCGAAATCCTGCTGGAGTAACGTTTGTGGGTTTGCTGGATCTCTGAAACGGGTAAGCGGATTGTAACCATCTTTTGTACATAACTTCTTAAGGATTAGTTTTAATTTGTTCGACAATAAAATAATAAAAAATGGACCGTTTAAAAATTATTTAGGTAAGTATAAAAACACTTCAATACGTCCTAACACTTTAAATAAGACCTCTAAAGACTTACTTGAAACGTTATTCTATTGCTTGTAACTACCTTCAAATGTATACGAATTTTCGTAAGAATACTGTAAGTGACTAAAAAGTTATGATGAAATGTAGCTCTCCACGTTCACGATCACAATGTGTGCGGCCTTTTTTGGCCACCGATAAACCTGTGTGTGGATATATAAACTGAATGTTATGCCAATAATTAGTTGTTTAGTTCATTTGTCTACCTGTAAAATTTCAGCGTAGTACATATAATAATTTACGAGATAATTAAATAAAAGTCATTAGAAGGTGCAAGACCGTGGTAACCCGACCATGTTTAGGTGGTTACAAAAAAGCGATCACCCGGTACATTGTGCTGGCTTTTAAAATATGTAGGATATTATTTGGAAGTTTACTACGGATATGTACATAAGTGTTACAAAAAACTACATGTTTTTTAAATATTTTTTATTTAGGATTGTTTATTGCATAATTAGTAATCAGCCGGGAGATTAGGTATTGTTTTGAATGCTTTTATTTTCTCGTAATGTTTAGGTGAATTGTTTATAGTTGTTCATAGAATTGGTAGGTACCTGCGTAGTATTTGTTAATTGAAGTTTAATTTTAGGGTAGGTATAGGTAATTTAAGAAATATGAAATGAAATGATAAGTTTTGAAGAGTGTAACGTATGCGTTGTAAATAGGTATTTTGTGAATAGATGGGGATTTTTTTAAGTGATGAATCGATTTAGGCTAGCATATCGCGAACAAACTCTGTATTGCATTATTTCTGTAATAATGTTGGAGAAAATAAAATATTTGATCACAAAATTATAATAAAATAAATTATTTATGTAAAATTAGTAACAAGTGATATACCTACCTAAAAGTTATGATCGTTTTTAATTTGATCACCCTGAACGAAATTTCAAAATTAGCATTAGTAATTAATATCCTAAGACAAGAATTGACAATTACTTAAATTGAATCGAATTAGCATTAATGCCTATTATTAGTAATTAGGTACACACATATTGAAGAACTCTCAAGAATACGATAAATATTTGCAAAAATAGGAAGCGGAAGCGCACACGTACTTTACAACACGTATATTATCTGCCTAAGGGTCAAGTTTAGTGCACTAGATGCAAAAGGCAAACAATGAAGTATCCCTTCGCCCCTCCCCTCCCGCGTTCTAGCGAAGGATGTATTATCAGCGATTCTTGATTGACAAATATTATCTGACCAATAATTTTATCTATAAAAATGTATCACTTTCACTCGATAAATTAAATTACCGTTATTATATCAAAATATCATTCAACAACTGTTCGTTTTTAACAGAAATCAACAGTCACGGGCTCAACGCTTAACGGTAGGTACATAGGTATAGATAATTCTCGGTTCTAGGTATAGACCACAGAACAATATTACCTACTCTTACGAGGTATACGACTGTTGGGCGATGCAATGTTGATGCATTCTAATTTACAACTGTATTCTTCTACCATTATGGTCTATTTTAACTTATTGTAGATGACTTGTTGCTTTAAATATTTTGATGCATTCAAGTCTAAGCTCTATACACCCCAAAATAAAATACAATTACTTTAGTGTTATTTCTTTACAAAAAAAAATCAAAGAAATTAAACGATTTCTTATTGGTTTAAATTTTCGTTTTATTGCAGTCAGGTGAATCGTTCATACATGTATCTACATATTTATAATTTTAGCGGACCAGTGCAGATTTTCTGTTGATTGTAGCTTATGTAGTTAAAAAGACTAAAGAAATTTTAAGTAAAGAAATTAGTGCTTAAGATCAATTAGAAAAAAAAACAAAATAAATAATAGGTAATAATAATGAATAAATATTGAATGTATTTAACACTGTACCTACGCAACTGTACCGAAATCGTAAGGTGTATTACACTAAACATTTTAAAAGACAGCGCAATGTACTGGGTGATCGCTTTTTTGTAACCACCTAAACATGGTCGGATTACCACGGACTTGCACCTTCTAATGACTTTTATTTAATTTTCTCGTAAATTATTATATGTACGACGCTGAAATTCTACAGGTAGACAACTGAACTAAACAACTAATTATTGGCATAACATTCAGTTTATATATCCACACACAGGTTTATCGGTGGCCAAAAAAGGCCGCACACATTGTGATCGTGAACGTGGAGAGCTACATTTCATCATAACTTTTTAGTCACTTACAGTATTCTTACGAAAATTCGTATACATTTGAAGGAAGTTACAAGCAATAGAATAACGTTTCAAGTAAGTCTTTAGAGGTCTTATTTAAAGTGTTAGGACGTATTGAAGTGTTTTCATACTTACCTAAATAATTTTTAAACGGTCCATTATTTTTATTATTTTATTGTCGAACAAATTAAAACTAATCCTTAAGAAGTTATGTACAAAAGATGGTTACAATCCGCTTACCCGTTTCAGAGATCCAGCAAACCCACAAACGTTACTCCAGCAGGATTTCGAATAACTTCGCAACCGAAGAAAATACAAATACCAAATAAGTTGTAACATTTACCTAGTCCAGATAACTAATTATCTAGCTAAAATTTATTTCAATATTACAATTAAAAAAGAAAATGTCTGGCTGCGGTAACGTTTCAAACGTTACTCCAGCAGGAAATGTTTTTTTGAAATAACTAAAAAAGTTTAAGTGAAACAAATTTAAAAATGTGCTTAACAATTACAGAAGGGGAGCAACTAATTATCTATAACGTTTAAATGACAATTTTCGACATTATTTTGCTGGGGTAACGCACACACTGCTGTGGTACATTGTGCAAAATTTGAGCTCAATCGGTGCAGAACTTTTGTATTTTTGAAGGGTACCTACAGAAACCTTACACTTACTTAAACTTTACATTTTTATATAAGTCCTAATGGTCAAAGTAATAGTGTTTACTTCAATATCTTATTCAATGACATTTAAACTTTTTGGTGGGTTGGAAGATGGGAAAGAAACATCTGTTAATTTATAAAATTAAGTAATTTTAGTATATAGAAGAAAGTCCACTCTCTCCAAAGCCCACTGATAAGTTAGAAAACTAACAAAACCCACGCACCCTTCTAAGTTACGTTTTAAGTTCTGTAGATTGTGAAGTCCAAACATCGTGGCTTTATTCATACCGTCCACCGCGGTTCTCCATATTTCGATCGCGCAGTTTAACCCTTACAACTTTCTGAATATTGGGTCTACGAATTTGCAATTTTCATTGTTAGTGTTTTACAAATTCCTTCTTAATGTTGATGTAGTCGTTTTTCTTCTATGAAACTGTGTCCGAACAGTCGAAACAGACATGCAACCGGGTGAGTTTTTCCACCAGTTGTGTGTTTAGGCTCTGGATCGAAGTTGGTTGAAGAGCAGTGGCAGGAGTATGGCTGGATTGGTGGCCAGAGTTGCCAACTCATCTGCGAAGTCATACCCGTGAATTACGATACTCATACTATTATTTAACTTTTCAGAGGATATACTGGCAAGAAACTAGAGGATAATGTACAGTGTGAGATATTTGAAACTTTATTGGAAGAAGCACAATCTTCATACAAACCAGAGGTTGTTATGGAACTGCAAAATGACTCTGAAGAACAGTTGTATAAGAATGTTGACACTATTGTTGAGTGGATAGAGAGATGGAAGGAAGAGAATATATAGTTAATTTTACATCTTTGTTTTTATTCAGTTTTACACTTCACGAAACCTAAGAAATAAAGATTAAAATAAAACGAAAAACTATAAATACAACCTAATTTATTTGTTATTCCATCGACACTATTATAAAGAAATGCATTCAAAATTACTGTATTTAGATAAATCTAGAATAGATTTATAAAACTGGCACGTCAAACTTGCAATTGTGTTTTAAAAAAAAATTGGAATTGTGAAGCAAGAACACAGACACAAGTTTGAGGGGCATCAGCGTCACAGACACACTCACACCCGCGCTCCGCTCACACACAGATCTTTCGAGGAAAGTTTTGCATCACATAGTGTTTACAACTCTTGCTTCTTAGGTTTGCCCTTTCTGTCCCAACCGCTGAGCTCTACTGAAGCTTTCTCTGCTACATACTTGACGAAGTCTTCCAGAGCACGACCACCCTGTAAAACGAACATGTTATGAATAAATAAAATCACAAGTTAAGAAGACATATATTTATATTTTTTTCTAAGTTCCACCTTATAACACTAGTCTTTGAAAATCGATTTATCTGTGTTGGAAACAGTTGAAACATCTGACAAACTAATTTTTTGTTAAAGTAGTATGTAAATCCAATATTATTTAAAGTTGTTATTATGATATATTACAACCATTATGTTTGATTTGTATAAAATATAATACAAATTTGTATATTGTGTATAAATAGGTGTACTTACTTCTTTAAACTGTAAAGTTTAATAATTGTTAAAATATAATTGCAAACAGTATAATAGCAGATATGACAAGAGGATTTTTTTTATTTATCGTTTCTACTAAATTCCTATGTAGGGGAAGGCACAGCATATATATTATAATATATGATCTCTCAACCTTTCCTGGGTCATGTTTGTTATTGAAAAATGTTTCTAAATTTACTAACCAGTAGGTGGAGGCCAATAATAGAAAGTTTACAAGTAATTGTGAAAATTTCAAACAATAACAATCTGGGATAATAAGAACTGTCAATTCCGACACATATACATTGTACACGATTGTACATAAAATTTATATTTTAAAATAGAACATAGTGCCTAGCCATGCAGCAGTTAGAGTCTATTTTAAACCCTCACAAGGTTCATTATGCTTGTGCAGCCATATTGATGTATTAAAAAAATAATTGGTTAATACCTCTAACTGCAGGTAAAAGTTATTTATCAAATATATATTATTTTTGAATTAGAAATAAATAAATTGAACTCACATTGTATCTGACAGGTTTCTTGGACTTGTCAGCGAATTTCCAGTAGATGGTGGGGAAGCCAGATACGTCGTACAAAGATTTGGGCCAGTCGTTGGCCGTTGCATCGATTTTCACGATGTCTACAGACTCGTCCTTCAACTGTTGGGAAAAAATATAATTGGTTATGTTTATAGTATTTATTTTACATAATTAAAAATTAAAAGTTTATCGCTCACGAATAAAGTATACGAATAAATCACGAATAAAATAGTTTTAAATATCACATAATCACCTGTGAGTAACTTACAAAGTTACTGCGGCCTATGATTATGATTACGTTAGCGGCAGACTCGCGAGAGATCTAATTTTTTAAGTCAGAGATAATTAAATATTAGGGTTAGACCCCACATGTAATTAAACTATCTAACTATCTGTAATTAAAACAAAAAAAAAAAAAATTGTTCTCTGAAAAAAGAAATGGAAGAGGCGTCTTCCATTTCTTTTTTCAGAGAACAATATGTGCCCAACTTTGGGAGGAATGGCGTCGAAAGCATCACGCCTCCTCTTTTTGGGCCGTCTTCGGCGGTAGTTTATATCTTCAGGCACCCATTGCCTGAAGACTTACCGGGCAATAATTATGCAAAAACATTCATTTTATGTTACCCACCATTTGACCCCAAAACCCTCATGTCTTAATCTATTTTTCTGTATTTGACTAAATCTTGTATTAAAATATATAACACGGCAGACAATAGTTTACCTTATCACCAAGCTCTTCCCAAATGGGGGCAAGTTTCTGACAATGTCCACACCAGGGCGCGTAGAACTCAACGAGGGCATCGCGACCGCTGTCAGTCACCACTTCCTTGAAGTTCTTGCCTACGGCTACCTTGACTGGACCGTCGTTCTGTTGAGGAATGGCTTCTGACTTGACAAAGGCCTCTAGTTTACCGTCGAGCAGGTCTTTTGTGAAGGTTGATAGGTTTTCAATACTAAAACAAAAAAAAATACACTTATAAAAAAAAAATCTTAAAAAAATTACGCGCGTCTTTAACGCAGACTTTTGATTCACAGCATACAGGGTTAAATTGTGGCACATAGATAAAACCGTATTTAGGTGGTTGAATGGTTATCCACGGCGTATTAAAAAAAAAACTCGTACCCTGCTTATCTTAACTGGTAAGTAAAATGAGCATATGAAGTTTACAGTGCGAAACGAACGTAAGTAACTATGTACCGTGTCGATAACGCGCTCGCAACAATATTTAATATAAACATCGTCGTGGAATTACTACTGTTCGAACTGAAATTTAACAAATTTATAATTCAATTCCAAATTTCATGTTATTGTTAATGTCATGTTCAAATTCCATGTCAATTAACTTTAAAAGTCAATAATGACAGCATAATAAAATGAGGTTGTACAACTTTTGTAAAAAATATCAGTAAAAAGAAAATTTAACATCAATTATTTTTTCTAATGAAAAATGCGTTACGCACTTATGGTTGATTTATACTTTGATAATGGTATAGGGCTCGGTAAGTAATGAGTTTCCAATATAGAAGGGTTTTTTTTTAAAGACAACTCCCGCACTAGTTATAAATTCTGTGTCGCGGGGGACTTTACAAACATACATGAACCGGACACAAGCACACCCAGACTCAGAACAACAATTTGTGGATCTCACAAAGTGTCGTCCCATGTGGGGATCGGACCCACAACACTCAGCGTAGTAGTTAGCGGCGTGGCGACCGCTAATAGTGTAAGATATGTTTGTAATGGAGATATAAGTACAAATTTAAAACACTACATACTGATATGTTTATAACCAAACCATAACATGTTAGATTATATTAAATACAGTTTAATGAATCATAAGCTAGCAAGATGTTACAATTGAATCCCGAAAATATATTGTTGTCCACATTACTTAATTTTCCACCACTAGGAGTGGCATTTTTTCTTTACATTTGAAGGAAACCAAAGAAGAATTTTCCAAATTGTGGTGACCGCTTAAACCATTACGCCATCCGTGCGGTCAATTTCAATTCTTATTAGTATCCGACTCAATTTGCAGTGTGTTTCTTAAATTATATTTATTTGTGCAATGACTATATATAAATAACATCCGCATCTCGCGAGTATAGGCTACAGGTAGCAATCAGTATATTACCAGTAAGCTACGGCCATAGTGTGATCTACAAACTTAGCCACAAAACTGAAGGTATATCTGAAATCAGTCCCTATTAATTAAATGTCACGACGGAAAGATACACACATACAGATGCATGGGTGTAATTTATCTATAATATGTATGTATTTAGAAATATATATTTATCAGCAGTCAAGTACCATAGTACAGGCTCTGCCTAGTTTCGGAACAGACGGTCGTGTGTGAGATAAAGTTATTATTATTATAGGTTCTTTAGACACGAATTGTGAATATTGTTTCATCATCATCAACAGCCTATACTAGTCCACTGCTGGACATAGGCCTCTCCTTATATTGTTTAAATATTTTAAAATAATCTATCACTACAAGTCGATACTAAGGAATGATGACATCACCGAACTGATTTAGTTACATATGCTCACACACCTGAACTCAGTGCTCATGACGAATTTGTTGTCTTCTGCGTCACGTCCAGCGACCACAGGCTTGTCACCCTTGGCGTAGTCAATGCCGTACTCGTTCAGTTCATGGGTAAAGTCGTCCTTGTCGCTCACGGCGAAGTTCACTTCACTTTGTTCTTTGGCTACCTGTAGGCGAAACAATTTTATTTGTAAGACAGATTGCATGTGGTAATAATAAAAATAGTTCCTTAGTGAACAAATCCATGTTTTACAAATCAGTCTGCTCGTTAGAAGTTCTTGTCTGATCTTCTAGAAATCACCATGGTCAAAAAACACTACCTGAATTTAAGGCACAGAGAAAATAGTTTTCGATCCATTCTATAAAATATGATATAGTCTTGATTTAATACTACAACTATTTTCACTAATGCTGAAGTAGCTTAACTTAACTTACTTACTTAACCTACTTAACTTTTGCAATGTTATTATTGTTTGAATTGATTTGAATTTTCATTAATTTATTTACTTATAATTTGTGTAATAGTAATTTCTGATTCAAAATGTTATGTTTGACTCTTAATGCAGGCTGTGATCTTCTGTAATTAAGAATACACCAGATCAATAATTTATTATTCTCTGTGAATGGTATGTGATATTCTTGTTGAAGGTCCTTAAATAAATAAATAGCCTTCATCATTATTGTTTCAAATTATTATGTAAATGTGCATCATGGTCTCCGTAACAAAAGAAACACTATTAAGACAATTAGTATATATATATATAAAATATCTGTCTAATACAATTACAAAGTTTAGTATCTAATCTAGGAACATGATTTTCTAGTATGCCGAACACTAGAAAAACTCTAATTACACTATTGTAAGGTCTTTTTTATTTTAGACTCCATAATCGATTGTGTTGGTACATAATAATATATACCAAAATAGTATTGTTTTTGCGGTAATGTTTATAAAGTCTATATTAACAACATTTTGCTGACGTTTACATATCTCTGGCATTGTACCTATGCATGGCATTCGGTGTAAAAAGAAACAATATTAAACAGGCGCCAGCCACTTCGAGGACAATGGCTTTACATACTTCTATTACAACAAACCTACATCTCGAGTTACATTGTTATCATTTTCTTTGATTGAATTTTGCCAGAGTTAATTTTAATATTCATTTTTGTTTTAAATTAGGAAGATCGTGAACTTGCCTTAAGCACGCGGTTCCTCCAGTAGTTGGTGCCTTTAGGGTTCTTCACGTAGTCTACATCGTAGTACACGACGACCAGGGGGTTGGTGAAGTCTTGCATATTGTCCTTCTGGCGAATGCCGACTAAGCCATGGCTGTAAAATAATGCTTGTCAGAAAAAATCTATATTAAGAATATAACGTATCATCTTTCTAACGAGTCAATATTTCTGAGATTAACATAAGAGACAAAGTAAAAAAAAAAAAACAGAAAAAAGAACACAACTAATTAAAATTATAAAAACCAGGTAAACTATGAAATGAAACTAAATAATAGAAAATATTTTAACTAGAGATACAAAGTCCAACGATTCATTATAATAAATTAATTACAATAAAATAAAAGAAAATAATTAATTAGCGAAATAAATCATTTTTATACGAAAGAGTATGAGTAAATAATTCATAAAATTGAATTATTTTATATTGTCATCAGTTTTCAACGCTTGCAAATTTTAAAGTTAGACTAAGTAAAAAAAGTATTTGTTACATAGCAACAAAGTTATAGTTTATATATTTTTTTTAATTAGTGTATTGTCATCGGTCCTCGATACATCTACAAAGTTTGAACGAATTCTGACCGTTTAAAGTCAGTCAAAATCACGCCCAAAGGAGTCGGTTACAAACAAACATACAAGTGAACCTAATATAAAGCGTGTAAAAGCGGTTCCATTGTATGTTTCTTATTCAATCTCTAGATATGCTAGATTTTTATTCAGAGAAAATGTATCATTAAGCAAATTACAAGTAAAAGTTATCAGTTTAGTTACTTTATCACGCGTGCAGTTTCATTTTTACGAGTTAAAAGTCGTCTGAAAATAATTACATTCCATACAAAGATTTTGATAATGTTCTTGCAAAATTGTTTAAAATCAATTAACCTCAATCTACTTTTATCAATCTTTATGGTCTTATGGTATACACAAGTTAAAATGATTTTATTTTTGTTGTGCATTGCATTGGCATAAGCTTGTATTTGATGTAAAATTTTATCAAACAACAACGATATTTCTCATGCTTAAATTATTTATTTCTAATACATATAATAATATTAGGGAATTCTAATTTTCGAAATTTGTGATGTGGTTTTTTTAAATAATGAAAATTTCAAACTGTTTGAACCATCATCATCGGTCGTTCGGTCGGTTGGTGATTTGATTTAACAGCAGTTAGACCTTTGGTCAATCCATTAGTGGACACTGCTTTACCGGACTAAACTACGGACAGTAGTTTAATCCAAGCTTAGTAAATAATAAATTTATTTAATTCCCTCCCACAATATACATAGATACACAACTAAAAATAAAAAACTTTGTATGGGAGACAGGAGCACATACAAACTTGTGTTATAGATCTCATGGCCTCCTTATCCCAGATAAACATTTTTACATAATATTACATTACGAACAATATGAAAAAGTAAAGAGTTTATCCAGCCGTGTATGAAAAGATAATTGATTTTCCAATAAACGAAATAAATGAGAATATAATTCCAATAAAAGAGGTCTTAGGTTTCTTGTACGCATAAAAGTAAAAAAGTTATAGGTATATTAATAAACTTACTAGTTCTCCTTGATGAAAGCCTTCAGCGAGTACGACTCATCGTTGCCCTTGTATACAACGAACGAGTCTTCAAACTTGTTTTGCAGGCGCTTGGGGCGGAACAATACCACGTCATTCCTGTTTAAAAACACAATAAATTAATATAAAAACATGACAGTGTACATTAGTAGAAACAACTAAAAATATGGTAGTCGTTATCATTATTTTAATGGATTTTCCTAATTTTATTTGGTGCCTTTTTTATTTATTTTATTACTTCAAGCAATAATTTATACAGCGACTGACTTAATGCCTAAGACATTCACCAGCAGTCGTCCGATTGGGCGTTGCAGAGAAAGGATGAGGTAGGTGCATAGGAAGGTAATAAATGATAGATGTTAAATCCATATTATATAATATAAGGGTATCCTTATATACCCTTATATTATATAATATGGATTTAACATCACAGGTTGAAAATGGGGGTGGAAGTTTGTCTGGGGAATCAATACCCGCTGAACTGATTTAGATGAAAATTAGTATGGAAATAGTTAGATTCTTGAGGAAAGGTCTTTTTTACCGAGATAACCGACATACACGTTAGCTAGTACACATCACACATCACATCATCAGCCTTTAATAGTCCACTGCTTGACATAGGCCTCTCCTCGCTAGTACATACGTAGTTTATACGTATACTCAAATAAACATATCTATATAGATATTTTTTGCCTAGTTTCTTTTATGACTGGCCGTCTGCCTCTTGCCAACTCACCTTAGGCCTAACATACTAAATTGGGGTGAGATAATGGCACCTGCTAGTTATCTTTAGGGCTTACCCTAGTTTAACTGACTAATTAGGATACACAAAAAAACGAGACTGAAGCTGCAATAAAATTCATGTCGATTTTGTGATTGAAAACACCACTAGTTCAGGTATATCAACTGGCCATACGAATGAAGAATATGCAACTTTAATATAACCGTGGTAGATGCTTCTGCTTGACTAGAGACATACAGACATACAAAGGCCTCAAAGAAAACTGAGAGCCTAGTGTAAGTTTGCGATTTGCAATTGGTGAAGATTTCAGTGTGGGCCAATCGCAGCGCCGAACGCGGTTACCGTGATGATCGGGTAGATATGAAATAAACTCACACTTGGGCCTTTGGTAACCCGTCTGCCCGTTTGCCGCCTATACCATAGAAAAAAATTATTATACACTCAATACTGTACCATGTGTATACAGTACACTATCAGTAAATAATTTTAATTAATTAGTTAGCATTAATTAGTCAGCTTATTGATCGGAGGTTGTGTGTTGAAGTGAAGTGTTTCTATCTCTGTTATTATTTTATGTATAGCTTTACATAGCGTTTCGACTCTCATTTAAAGCGAGTTGATATCCCGTGCCAGGCATAGGTAATAAAAGAATAACTTTTTGTTTCAGCAAAAAAATCTAAGAAATAAGTAATACTACCCTACTCTATCCAAATTAGATCAACGTAAAATTAATATTCACATAAAACTCTCTAGTGAATTAAAACCCACGTTTATCAAGTGAAATAAAAATTGATAAATTAAGAAAAAACAAACTGCGATTTTTAAGTCATCTATTTCGCAATTGCCAATCAATGTTGGATAGGTAAAAATTACGTTGTTTTCAACTTAAAAAAGTGACTGCTTGCTCTTTTCTTTTCGTTAATAATTTTTTTCACACTACACTAACCACTGAATAACAAAATCTAACAGCAACTGTAGTGTTCTGGAAGAAATTTAACATGCCCTCTATATGAAATCGTGGCGGTCATTAGGTTAATAAGTTATCAGACTTATCAGTAAATGCAGTCGATAATATGATGTGTAAAATAAAAAGTGAAAGAGACATTTCCATTTACACTGTAACTACTTTCGTTCAGGCTCAGAATGTCTCTTTCCCGAAACGTCCATTTTCCAAAATGCCCCCTTCCGGAAATGTCTCTTGCCTACGTCAGATCTATCTATGCATTCTATTACATTATTAATATACGATAGGTATATAATATTGTCTACATACTATTATTGTGTATACTATAAATTGGTTCTGGTATTCCCGACCACTGCCGCGGAATTATACAAACTCACCTTACCTTCGTTGCATCTTTTCAACTATAATGTAATATAAATACATAGATAGATTTCGTTTTACCGAAAAGTGAAAGGACTGTATAAACCTAAGAAAGGGTAATTCTGGGAAAGGGGTTTTTTGTGAAAGGGATATTTTGAGCCTAATGCCAAACGGAGATATGTATGAATTGAAAGTAAATACGAGTACATATGAAACCACGTCAGGATTAAAATTCTCATGTCTCCGCTTATAGAGGAACCTCCGTTCTGGAAACGTTCTGCGACCTCCGGCACCCGAGTCATCTGCGGTATCTGGCCCGTTCCCCGACCTGGCGGACCAGGAGAGTTCTAATCCTCTTCCGGACCCGCTCCGCCGCGGCATCTCCTTTGCTAGCATGACTTGCTCGCATGAAGGAGATTGCGGTGTTCTCTCGCTTCGTAGGTACCATGACCGCAATCCCATGATTGCTACCGTTACCGAGCGAGAGAATTCCCACTCCAATGGCCGTCATTATTTGATACAGAGATCAACAAAGGAAGTAAAATAATTTTAACATGTTGACATTGTGTCTAGGTGTGTCAAGTCAAAACACGGTCGCGTGCCCGCGTTTTTATCGTATCAATTCGTGACGAATTGTGTTGCCATGTTTCACGGATGAGAATAATTTACCGGTGGTTTCACACTGCTCATGCAATTTTCCGCAGTTTTACACATATTAAATTTCTAATATCAAAAGGTTATCGGTTTTTCAGCCGGACGATAGTTTAGCAACGTCTTTTAATTTCCACGATTGATATGAAATTGGATTACGTTACGCTTATTGCATACCTACTAATAATTAGCAGATACAAAAAACAGTACTTTAATAAATTATTTAATATAATAATACACAGCCTAAACGTTTAATAAACTTATATAAAATATAATCTAGTTATTGAAATAGAGACTAGAGAATGTCAATCTATCTGTATCCCGTCCTATTGCCTCCTCCTTGTCCTTTTATTGCTCAAAATGTCCTTTTATAACTATATTTGGCAAAACGCCGCAGTCTACGTATAATCTAATTCACTAATAAATATATTATTGATTATCTTAGATTATCTTTATTTTCAAGTATTTACAACATTTTGCAATTATGATATGTTTTTACTTGTGATTGTTGCACTATGTTTTACCTCATTAACTTTATTTATTCTATGGTAAATAAGTAAATTATTATAATTACAAACCATTATCGACATTTGTTTTTTTATTTATTTATTTTTTTACAGTACATTGATTGATTGATTGATTTGGCGGGCTTTTCTGGTAAGAAATGTGTAACCTCGGTAGGAAAATAGCTCTCAAAAGTTTCAAAACCGTAGATTAGATTGCTATGGATTCGGAAGGAAGTGTATAATTTAGGGGAGATTTACGCTCTTAACATTTATCAGCGAGTGTTTCCAGCAAGGAAATATATATAGATATGATTTAATAGTAAACGACGAGGGGACGTCCTTATCGTGCATTCACATTATTTAAAATTTAAATATTGTTTAGAACGCAGGATGTGCCGCATCACTACGTTTCTGTATAATTATGTATAACAATTTATTCTTATTAATATAATGTTTGTATTTAATTTATAATTGTTTTAAATAGAATATAATGAAGATGGCATTGTCAGAATAGAAAATTAAATAAGCAGTATTTAAAAAAAAATATTGTAGGAATTCTTAGCAACTTTTTTAAAGCCAAAAAAGAAAGTTATTCAGGGATTTCATTTTTTAGTCTTTTAAACGTAGACTATGCACGAACCGAAAATTACTTGAAAAACTGCGTTTTCGGAACCAAATTTTTCAACCTATTATCTTAGAAAATGTATATAAGATGAGGTGCGGCACTACATAACAAACATATCACCTACATTTTACATACACAGCTGACTAAGACACGTGAAAAGGAACTTAGTAGCCAACAGTTGGACACTATTTTCTCCAATGCTTATATATCGTTGACAGTCTATCTTAACATACCAATGATCTAAGAGTATCATAGCAGAATTGCTTTTATCTTATAAGTTAAAGATAATGTAAATAAACAAGTTTTTAATTTTCTTCTTAGTGGTACAATTTTAAAAATTCCGTGGTTTTACCCACAACTAGTTTTACTAAATACGAACGAAGTAGTCAATAATATTTAAATCCTGTTTGGTAATAAAAACAATATTTTACAACTGATTATAAAATCATAAAAAAATGTTTTATTTTTTAAAATTACGTTAACTTTCTGCTTTTAACTTGCGATAAAGTAATTAGGTTTTCTAAAATATTATGTTATTTTTTATACAATTCCATTTTTAGAAGGAGGCTTATAAAAGTGGTGTGTAAAAAAAGCATTTTTATGATTATTATCAGTTTTTTTTTAGGTAACACACCTATCATACAAAATACCTTAATAAACTCTTTCTCCATTACCTAAACATTTTTATGTAAGTATAAAAAGTTCATTAGTGTGAAAGAAAAAAAATCAATTTGAATAGGAAACAACATAATCTAGTTTATTACATGGAACGATATCACCAATTCCATAAATACACAGATTTTTAAATGTTATGTTACTGATAACAATTTCAATATTTTCCTTATCTATTGGTACAAACTAACATTTTGTTTTTACAAATTATGTTGCTATTTATTTAAAAAATAGGTTTATGAGGTAATTATTGAATGTATAAAATATTTATTACGTAAAAAGCATTGTGTAGCTTGTGTGTTCAGCTTGGCACAGAATGAAACATGACCAATTGTTCAAACAGTGGAATAGAATGTTTTTTTAAATGGCTGTTTCAATGCTTCAATTAATTACTCAAGCAATTATTGGTCTTATTACAAGAAGAATCAAATGTGAAAACACTTTTAAATCGATATTAAATATTAAAAAAAAAAAAAGAAAAAAATTGATTTTTCCCATTTCACAAAAAACCCCGACGCGCCTAAAGAAGTTTTGACTTAAAAAACAAAATAACTCATTTACTAAAATAAATTCTACAAGAGACGATTCTTCAAACTCAAAAGATAACTACTTACATTAATCCTAATTACTTTATTAAACATTAACTATCTTTATTAATAACTACTAAGTTATTAATGAAATAGTTAATGTTTAAAAAATTGAAAAGAGATAATTACAGTCTTGTAACAGGATTGGAATATCAACTTGTACAATGTAAAATACAAGACAGATGCCATATTCTTATAAGCATATGTACCAACACTCATATGCTAATGAGTTTATACCAGATTTGAGATATATTAAAACACCAATAGCACCCCTAAGACTCTTGGTAGGAGTCTTTAAATATTGATGCAAGGATTAACAAGTCCTTCTAAAACAGTTGTTAAATAGCTCGGCTCTCCCTTTCAAATTTCCATCAACAACAATGCTCATGCTCAAATATGTGATCTGGGCCTCTTTTGAAAAAAACAAAGAACTTTTCAAGTTTTTACTTCTGTCGGTATTTCTGGAGTGCCACTGTATCAAAATATTTTCCATATATGGGCCATAAAGAAAACAGCATTTGCAATGTTACATATAGCTGTACCCCAAAACAACTGGTATGATGCAAGAAATTGATGACGGTTCTCAAAGACTAAAGGAAATAGAAACCTGTAACGGAATAAAAGTAATAAACAATAATAACACTTACTTGTATCCAGCCTTGTCAAGAACATCCTTAAATGAAGAATGTCCAAAAGCAACTTCTTCACGCAACTTGTCAGCCGTCTTCAAGAAGTCACCCTTAAGGTCAGTCTCTTTTTCAAAGAATCCAATGACAACAACTTCATCCTTAGCCAAGAAAGCTTCATAGGCATCAGCAGATGTGAGCTCCTTAGAGCTGGGTCCCACTTGTGCACGCATGTATTTAACGATCCCATCTGCATAAGGAAAGTGACTTACTGTACCTGATTTATGGTGAAGTTATGTTTAAGGAATGAGAGAGTTAACTTTTGCAATTTTTGTACGGTGTAATATTTTTCAACTTCTTATCCTGATATTATCATGAGTTCTATGATGAGGGTTTAAGATTACTGACAGCATAAAGTAGTTCTAATTAAGCAAAGCTTGATGTACACAAGATCATGTAATTTATGATATCAATAATAACACAACAATAATATAATCAATATCCCAATTTTTTAAACAAATATAATAGTTATTAATTTAGTAAAAATTAAGACTACCATAATTAAGTTAAAATATTATTCTCATAGCAAAATAATGAAACAAAGTAGGTGAGTCAAATTCTCACACTGCAAGAATTTTAAAAAGTCATGCAATCCAATCCAATTAGCATTCATCTGATTCATCATCATCATCTGATTTGATTACTATGCAGTTAAAGTAAGAACTATGCAGTTTTAACATAAGTTTATAGTAACTAAAACTTCTTATTGGTATCTAATAGTACTTCATGTAGAGTAGCCTACTTCAATTTGAATATTAGTTAAGTCAGGAACTATACAGTTTTAACATAAGTTTATAGCAACTAAAAACCTTCTTTCTAAGAAGAGGCCTATGTCCAGCAGTGGACTATTAAAGGCTGTTGATGTGATAGCAACTAAGACTTCATTAATAATTACTTGCAACTTAAATTACAAATTAAATTACTTTGAAAAACAGATTTCCACACCACAGTAGTAAAGTCTAAAACTTCTTATTGGTAGGTACCTAATAATAATCCATGTAAAGCTTACCTATTTAACAATTTTATAAATACCTTCAATTAAATGAATTATAGGAACATATTTTTTTAATTTATAATTTTAACACCTTTCTCTTATATTTCTACAATAACTTGTTCTGGAACTTACTTGATTCTCTGGGGCCATTGTACTCCTGTGACACTTCTCCTTTTCTGAAGATTTTCAATGTGGGATATCCTGATACTGAGAACTGCTCGCATGTGCTCTTGCCGCCTTCTGTACAGTCTACTTTCACAAGAGCGACTGGATTTTCATCGTTCTTCAAAATGCCGGCAGCCACCGCATACTCTGGTTTCAGTCTTTTGCAATGACCGCACCTAAACAATCGTCATATAAGATTATAATTATATTAACAAAGTATGTTAAGCGACACACGTTAGTTTATATTTAAGTTACCTGTTAATAACTTACCATGGTGCATAAAACATAACTAGAGCGGTATCATGTTGAGCTAGAACTGTAGAAAAGTCTGAGTCTGTAAGTTCAAGAACATCTTCTTCGGCTGCTTTACATAAATAAATTACGCCTAATAATAAAACAATTTTCAGTGAACCCATCATCTTTTCGTTTCAGCCACCTCTTCAGTGAAACCGTGCGTGATTCCTCGCCGTCCAAGTCAAGCTGAGAAACGACCGACGAAAGGACAAGGACCGGAAAAATACACGTATGATGCCGATGATGACACTAGCCGGTACAGTGTTGGCTCATTCTGATTGGTCGCTTCGGACAAGTTCGAAAACTAGTTATGATTTTAATATCATGAACAAATAAAATTGTCAAAGAAAAATTATCCAAATTTTTTAAAATTAAAAAAAATGTAAATAATTATTTACCAACAAATTGTTATCTTTAATTAATTCTTTTAAAATGTGTGTATTTTATTATACCATGAAAATAGCTAATTTTAAATTAGGTATTACCATGTTGTCAGTATTCATCGGTATTATTAAACTAACTATAAAGTTTTTCTAGGACATTTTCACATGACATATGGAATATTCTTTTATTCATTTATGATCGTAAAAGTATTTCATTATGTATTAGTAGGCCTTTGAAATAAACTTGATATTTGCAAAATTTTTTTAGGATTTAGAGTAAGACTTGATCCTCATATAGTTAAAATAAGTTTTCAAATCTATGAAATGATGGTAATACCTGTAATATTCAAATAATTGCTAAATATAGCGGAGCAGCACTGTTAGTGTTACAAATAAATCAAAGCACATTACCTTAACAGTGCTATTTTGTTTCTCTAATCACTATGTATTTTGTATAAAGACTTAAATAATATGAAAACTGTAATATTAATGGATGATGGGGAGCCTTTTGGCAATGACAGGCTTTTACATCAACAGCCTTTAATAGTCCACTTCTGGACATAGGCCTCTTATTAGAAAGGAGGTTTTGGCCGGCTTTAATCTAACTAAGTTACCAGGACGTTTAATAATTGTAATTGTAAAATTAGTTTTATTTAATATTTCACTTTCTTTACACATTTGTATAAAAACAAAATTAAATGTGTAAAAACCATAGAGATATAGGCATAGATAGAACAGCCTGCCTGTAAGGAGCGATACAGGCAATGACAGAGATGGATGCCCGATAGTTCCCTCTGTCTCTGTTTGGCTAAGCTGCGATTGGCTATCGTGAAGTGGACATGGTTTTCATCAAACAAAAGACAGGAGATTAGAAATTTTCCAGCTCATCACAGAGCTCGACCACGCTAGACTAGACTCGAGGGAACTATCTACTATCCTTTTCTCTCGTTGCCTAAATTGTAAGATTGAGGCTCTTTTTCACTCTATGATTATTTGTCTACAGTAAAGACAGACTGCGTTTGATATCGCTGTCTTTGAAAAATATTAGGTATTTAAAATCTAAAAAAATTCAACAGACTGCAACGCATGAACAAGTTTATTAATATTTAAATATTTCTATTTCTTAAAGAAAAAATCCTAATCATCATCATCTGCCTACCCTTTTCCCAATTTTATTTGGGGTCGGCGCAGTATGTATGATTTTTCCATTCTACTCTGTCATGCGTCATCTTACTGTTTAGTCTAGAAAGAAAAAATCCTAATGCCATATTTAAAAACCAACTGCATAGTAGATTTTAAAAACGTGTGGTAGTATTAAAATTAGCTGGTGGTAACATTGGTATCACAGCTCTTTGTCAGTTGGCTTCGCTGTCAAACGGAAAATGGCAGCGACGAGTGTTGTCGTTCTCGATAGAGGCAACAATACGACTTGTACCGTAAATCTTTTCGGTAAGTTATTTTATAATATTTATTAAAAGTTACCTGTAATACTGCACGTACAGTTTTTTGTGTTTAACTGAATTATCATAGGATTAATACGAAGCGGCAAACTAACCTTATTCTTTATTTATTTTTTTAAATTTAACGCGCGGGATTTGTTGAAAATAATGTTTTTTAAAACTTTGAACGATATAATTAAAATATGAAAACTGGCTTTTAGGGTCAAGTAAGAGTACATTAATTGTATTACTAGTGTAGTATAGTGCGTGTTGATTAGTTGACTGGTAACTAGTTTTTTCATATTGAATAGCATAAAGTTGTCTGCGGTGGCTCTGACCTTGGCTATTGGATTGTAGGAAGTAAATTGTAGATACTTGCTTTTAAATTGTAGGTTGGTATTTGATGTACTCACAAAAAATATCATAACTTATAGACTAGGATTACTTTGACCAATACATTAGGAAATCAGTATGCTCACCTAAGTTACATTTGTTTAACAACTAGTTGTCAACTAAATATAAATTTTTATTTATTTTTATTTGTTTTATAGTTGTGCAGTTATTGATTTAGTTTGATTAGATTAAAGTAAACTACTCTAAAGTATTAAATAATAAGCATCAAAATATTTCATATATAAATATAAAAAAATTCATTAATACTTTTACTTTCTATTTCTAAAAAAGTTTAAATTAATTATTAAATTATCTTTCTAGAAAAGTACATTGTAAAAATATAGTTTTTAGATAATGTTACATCTAAGTTATTAATTAATTTCTCAACTATGTATTTATGTATGTTTTTTTTATTTCTTAGGTGTTTCAGTTTAGTTTCAATCTTCTTCATGAACCAACTCCTAACAAAAATTTGTTAAAAAAATATCCTAAGACTGAAATACACATCTTTCTGATCCATAACTATGCAAACCAAGTAACAAGACTGCTGATAAACATATTCCTATATTACGAAATAATATAATACATATGTATATTATAGATAAATACCACCCAAACACATGATGAATATAAATTGTGTTATTTAATTGTTAATTATTTGTTGTAGGTGCTACGGTAGTATCATGGCGGGTGAATAATCAAGAACAATTATTTGTAAGGTAAGACTCACTATTTAATATTCTATACAAAGTATTTTATCATCAACAACCTTTAATAGTCCACTGCTGGACTGCTGCTTCTTAGAAAGTGGTGTTTGGCCTACTATTTTATGTGATCTTAAATATAAAAAAAAATTACTATCTTCAACAGATCACATAAAGTGTTTGGCAAACATTGTTAAAAACTCATTTAATTTATGTACAGATATTAATAAAGATTATGTCAGATATTACAATTGAACTTTACATAAAAACAAAATTTTCTGTGAGAACACATCACATACTCTTCAATTTTAACTACCATTGACTGATTAATTCATTTTTGACAGTTTGTAATTTACAACTCAGTTATTAAATTATCATTAATACATATTCCATTGAAATTTGCATTAATGTTCTCTGGATGCTGGATGGAGCAATCAGAATTCACTATTTAAACTGTTTCCTGTTATGATTTTGATTGATTGTGAACTTTGAAATGAAATAGAAATAGGTATATATAATTTTTCATCATAACAAACAGTTACTCATTGAACACTACTGATGATGTGTCGGAAAGTTTTACAGACATGCTAATGAAGGTCTTTTTTTATTGTACATTGTTGGTACTTAATGTTAGATATTTAACTATTTAGGCACCATTAGTAAATTACGTTACAGGAATTTCGTGATTTTTAGACCTCTCCCATCTATCTGACATGTGAACGTTTTTTGTTGCTACTCTCCCTGGTCTGATAATAATAATAAACCTCCCCCCCCAGGGATCACCTTGCCATGGTGTGAAGGCTTACGGGTATCGGGTACTGGCTATGATCTTAACCTTGGGTCTTTGCTTGTGGAATTGCCGTTTGTTTAGGCTATTTGTACTGATCGAGCGGTGATTTCGTGGCCGGAGACCTGATACTAGTACCTATCCAACTAACGATCATAACATTTTCACACATTTTACACACGGTCGTCTGATCCCAAACTAGGCAGAGTCTGTACTGTAGTAACCAGACTGCTGATAAACATACTTATAAAATTTTAAATACAAACATAATTAAAATAAAGTACACCCAGACACTGAACAAATGACCGTGCTCATCACACAATAAATTGTCCTGGGTGGGAATCGAACCCACGACCTGTGGCGTGACATGTAGGGTCACTAACCACTAGACCAACAGGACAGTAAAAAAAAAGTCATATATTTTACAAACAGACACTGAGAACTTAATAAATGAAAACGGAAGTTTCAAAAGTATCTATACCCTCATACTTATAAATGTGACTAAACCAGTAAACTGATTTGAAAATATCTTTTACCAATCGAAAGCTACATTATATGCGAGTGACATAGGCAACTTTTTAATGGGATAATCAACATACACGCGGGCGGAGCCGTGGTTAAAAGTTAGTTATTTTTATAAAGTACTAAGTGTATTTTCCTGTTACTGCTAATGGTTGTGTTTATTAATACTTTAGATATGTGACATCACGAAGCTTTCGATCTGGTTAAACGGGCAGTTATCACGGCCAGTGCTACCTGAATGAAACCTCAGATTTGTCTGAAGTTTGGATTTGTCCAAGACATGTCCTTAATACCTATTGTGAGCGGCGTTAATTCCCGTAAACATAATTATATAAGTTACATTTCGTTAACCTCTTTCTTAACTTGTGATGTAACTAATGGATATGAGATATCACTGTAATACTGATCTCATCTGGAGCTTTGGAGTAACAGAACTGCTATTGAGTAGCCAATGAGCGGAATCACTTACCATCTTGTATCCCATCTGTTCGTTTGCCCCGTACATATTCAAAGGTGCTAATCAACATGCAGATCTACATGTAATTAAATTTTGTACAAATTTGTGTCTCGGTATGTTCCCACGAGTAAATATTGTGTAAGTATTAACTTTGCTTTATATTCGTGACTAGCTTGAGAGTAGACTTTGTTAATTAATTAATGCGAATACCCCTCGGGAAGAGCACATTTTTGTCCGGAAACATGATCTTCTGACAACATGTGTGTAAAATTTCTTCAGGTTATGAAGACCAATTCTCGTAATAAAAGTTCGGTCATAATTCAGCTCTAATCAACTCTCAATCTCACAACAGTCATAAAAAGTATTTTCATAGTAAAATAGTAAAGCATTACCAAGACCAACAGATTACCTATTCAATTTTCGGTTACAATACGATATAACCACATTACAGTCAACTTTGGATGTTTAATACTTTCCTATGAAAATACATTTCATTACAGTTTAGAGATCGAGATTTGATCGGAACTGAATTTTTATTACGAAAATTGGCCTTCTGCTTAAAAATATCCCTTTTTCTCATTTGTAATATTAAGGTATTAAAAAATAAATAAACGCGCTATTATGGCCTAAGATAATGTAGTGAAAGTATTAAAAAACAATTGTTATTAATAACAAGGGCCCAAAATAAAACACCTAATATATAACGTAATAATGCCTTGAAAATTAGCGTGCCACGATATTTAATAATAATTAATTTTGTTTCTGGGCTAAACCGGCATTATTTGGCATAAAATTTAACCGCAATTTATCCAGGTTAACCAAATCCGCAATAGTTCTTTTTCCGACTCATTTTATTTGCCACAATGAGAATGGCCAGTATAATGTCAAATTAGTCTATAGCTTTTGTTGGTTTTGAATGAGTCGAAATAGACTGAGCACGGTCTACCACAGACGTCCGCCCAACAAAGCCATTGCTCTGAACGTCAGCGTGGGATTAAAACCAGAGAGCGTCCCTTACACTATTCCTTTCTCTTTCATCAAATAATCCAGTAATAGGCACGAACCCTGTTATATTTATAACAGGGTTCGTGCCTATTACCCTGTTATATTGAAATGAGACAGCAATCTAACACTGTTGATATTATGTGTATAATGTTTGCCGATATATAATCTTATCACGAGAAATATAAAAGTATATAACAGGTATACAATTATCGTACTGCATACCGATTGCGTGTAGAGATCTTCATTCGGTGACGGTACTGGAGCAGTGATACGAGTTTTACCAAATATACGTATGGACATGTTAAAGTACAGTCCGCGATAGACGATATATTAAACTAGCTAAAGTCTTGAAAAGAAGCACATAAACCGAATCATCCCGCGACCCGCGAGTTAGAATTTCAATGACGTACAGAGAGAGGAACAGACAGCATTTTATAAGATGTTATACCTACTCGTAAAGTTATGCTACTATTAATGTAATTGTGTGAACGTAGGCCATGATCACGGTACAATTATAATAGTACCGTGCCATGATCTAACTTCGTTCGTCTACACTATTTTAATTTATTTACTAAACTATTGTCCATTTATTCTCTTTATCTCGTTATCCACTAGTTCCAACCCATTTTCTTCTTACTGATGATATATACCTAATGAAAATATAAAAGTGTGTACTAACACTTGAAAGTACACAAAGTGTATCATGTGTAAATTACTTTTACGCAAATTTAAATCCAAAAACCTATAAATTCATATGAACTTTGTAAAAGATGCAGAAATATTACTCATTTAAACACAATACACAATTTAAAAGTCGTAAAAAAATACTTTCCGTCTTGCCTGTTAATTGGCCCTTCGTCTTTTTGACTTGAGGACTTGTTGCACTGAACTGGTAGTACCTATACATTGTCTTTATTATGTTATGTGATCTGTGTCGTATGTAAAACATTCCGCTTAGTTTTGAAGAATTTCTCAAGTAGTGGGTCTGTGATTGTCGCCCGCCTTATATTTCTAAATCTAAATAAATATATTTTATTTGAATTATCTTTAACAACTTGTTTTCAAATTACTTATTTTGATTAGATTAGATTTAGAATTTGCTTAAAGAGCAATATATGAATCAGCTTTTATATTAATCAGATATATTATTATATGCCTTACAATTGATTATTATCAGCCTATCACCGTCACTGCTGAACGAAGACCTCATCGAAAGCCAGCTATCGCCTTGCAATTAATACTTTTCAAATTATTGATTTCTGATCTCTAAAGCTACTGGAATTTTCAAGCGGCTTGCAATATTTGACGATTCGCAGTAGTGATTAAAGCCCGTCTTAGGTTCACACAGCAAAAAATAAGTGTACAGACATAGACGCAATACTCACAAATTGGTTATTGTTGTTAGTCATTCATAGACACGAAAGCGGAAGCACCGTTGATTACATCGCAAAGATGCATGTATATAAGAAGGTGGCGTTCTTATTGAGATTAGACGATTCACAAAAAGTATTTCAAAGTAACTTTTGCTCAGCACGCTCAATGATAAATAATATTAATAATACATACGTATTCCATACCTTCGAATTGCCTTACGTTTCAACCAGTTTGCACTGCTCATAGAGGCCGTGGTCGCAGGCTGACATGGCACTTAGTCTAAACGTCAGATAATTTAAACATCTAATACCTATTGGTTCCTTATTAATAATTAAGTATAGCTTTGCAGCATGCGTTATATTAAATAGTAACTACCCTGTTTATATGGCTCGTAGTATTATGTTGTTTAGCCTATAAAAATATATAAATGTTCCTAATTCTCTCGATCTACAGTGATCTGGTAAAATAGTAGGATTAGGAATACCTGCCAAAGTAAGGCAAGATACTTAGTGTTATAAGCAAGCACAGTTCTTTTAACCATTGCATGAAGATCCATAATATACATTGCTCAGTAGCTTCGAATATCGTAAACTGTATAGAACTTCCTTTTATCTTGAACTAGCTTTCAATCCCCTCGGATACCACCTATCGGTGGCATGTCCCTATTAAACACAGTATTATATAATGGCAACTACTAGGTAGCAAAACATCTGTTAGGCTTATCTGTTCTGTTCGAATACAATTACAAAACCAATGACTTTCATAATGAGTAAGGTTAGATCGGAGACAATGGTGCGCCCATGAAGATGTTCAATGACGTCTGGTGTCTTGTGAATGGCCGTTACGAGATCTGACAGATATGTTAATCTA